AGCCCCCAATAAAATGATTTTTAAAAATAAAAAAATAAAGTGGATTACTGTAGATGGTGTTAGGGTAAAATTTAACACTTTATCATTTGATCTCCCTTTTGACCCATTTTAAATTTGTTCCAGTTTCTTAGTACTTTCTGCTTTCTTTTCTTTCCTTTCTCTGTTTAACTTTGTTTTTGCTGTTGGATTTTGTTGTTGTTTTGTGTTTTCTGTATATGAAAACCAGGATTGGTAAATCTACAGATAGTACCTGGATTAATGGTGTTGGGGTAGGAAGGGAAATGGGGAGCTAATCGCAATGAGGATTAAAAAGAAAACCATGTTTGAAAACTGTGGTGAAGACTGCACAATTCTTTTATGGGATGTAAATACTGAATTGTATGTTATGTGAATTACATGTCAATAGAACTTCTAGAAAATATTCAAGCAAAAGTAAATTTGGACACAGAAACTCAGGGTTGAACAAAATATGCATATTCATAAATATCATTTTGTCTGGGCAAATATGTACAGAGACATTGATACAGCAAATGAGGCACAGTGTAAGCAAGTGAATCTGAATAAAGGACATACGGGAATTCCTTATAATACTCTTGTAACTTCCTGTTAAGTATGCCATTATAATAAAGTAAAATGTTACTAAAATAACATGGCAAAACTTGATTATTTGCCAAGACTTCAAATGAGGGAACGATTACAGTGTTTTAGAAATTCACAGTAGAGAAAAGACTTGGAATAAGCCTTGGAAAAAACTAGAAGTTAGAGCAATGGTTCTCAACCTTCCTAATGCCTCATCCCTTTAATACAGTTCCTCATGTGTGGTGACCCCCAACCATAAAATTATTTTTGTTGCTACTTCATATCTTTAATTTTGCTGTTAAGAATTGTAAAGATATGCAGGATGTATTTTCATTGTTACACACTGAGCATAATGAAAGCATAGTGATTAATCACAAAAACAATATACTGTGACATGTTTATTTCTAATTACAAATAAATGAAATGTTGTCTCGAAGCATGGTGTAGCATGGGTCATAGTCTTCATGCCGGGTACTCGGATATGGGCATATCTGCATGTGGGCGGACCCGCCTGGAGATGGATAGAGGGGCGGTGTCTCAGTTCCTAAGACCATCGGAAATATGTGTTTTCTGATGGTGTTAGGCGACCCCTGTGAAACGGCCATTCGACCCCCAAAGGAGTCACGACCCACAGGTTGAGAACCGCTGAGTTA